CTCCCACGTCCCTTATATGCCCTGGGCTCTGGATGATGTTATTTTCACCAGCATTTTACCTCATTAGCCTAGTGACTCTAGTAGAGCTGTTGTGTACATCACTCTAAAACTGTATCTCTAGGGTACGCCGTTGCCCTTCAGTCTGCCTGTTCACCTGCCTATAATGTCGTCTACGTCCCGGCATGCTTCAACAGTATCTGCAATGGTTCGTCCTCGGTCTACACCAGCAGAGGTGTATCAAATACTCAAGACCTGCACTGTGGCAGGTGAGTAGTACTCATTAATAGCAGTCATTCACTAGTTGAATGCTGTTGTCTAGATGAGCTTGTTGAGGTATTCGCAACTCATAAACGGTCCTTTGACATAAGATGCCATGCTGAGTACATCGACAGACTAGCTAGACTGAGTGGTGATAAGGTCCCGAAGGGGCTCCAGCAGGATCATTGGCAATGGGTCGAGAGAGCATTAGGGAAGTTGTACGATACTACCATCGCATCAGTGCCATCAACCTCACAGTTATCTCTTAGTCAGCAAAGTGGGTTCCTCCATGCACCCACTATGAGGGAGGGTTTAGGGAGACTTTGCCATGCAGTGGCTCGATGTAGTCCTGATAACATCATATTACACCAAGTACTCTCCAAAACTCTGGTAATGCTTAACTTCTTTACCAATGATTTTGAGTACTGCTGCTATAGTCAGGTTGTAGCGCCATTGCATGCTATGAGCCCTCCTGCCCTTACTGCTACTATGTGGTCCCTAGCCACGTTGCATGTGGCCCTTCAAGAGCGATCTCCCTATAGAGTACCTCTAGCCTTAGTGGCGGAACATTGTACTACCAATATGAAGTTGGTCGATAAGACAGCGCCTGTGGTGAAGGCAATGTGGGCGGCTATTAAAGTAGACGTTGGGGATCCGATCATGCAGCAACTGTATCGTGTGGGCTTGGCGCATACGATGGATCTGCATACGACCAGAGGTGTACCTCTCACGTTGAAGGACGTGATCCTATTGCTGTGGGGTTCGGCTACTCTATCCAAGCTTGGACCAGTGTCTGATGTAGACAAGCTGATAATGATATCGAGTAAAGTGATATGTAGTATACATGAGGATGACTATGAGATAGACCCTCAGAACACGACTATGGCCCTATGGTCATTGGCAAACTTCCTACCCGATAGTAGTGCCGATGATCTAGTGAGTAGAGTTATTAATGAGTCCCTGCGAAACGCTGATGCATCTCGCCTGAGCCCCTTTGAACTATCGCTGGTCCTGTGGTCCATGGGTAAGCTGTATGAGACTTCTAGTGCCCCTCTACGTGACCGAATAGTTCAAGCAGTGCTTCATCTACAGCCTATAGTTATTAGCCATCTAACGGTGTTTTCACTGCGGCAAATAGCCAATGTACTTTGGGCATTCGGTGCCACACGAGTTGATGACTGTCGAGGACTTTTCGATGGGGCTTCCTCATTGGAGATCCTAAGGGTACCTGGTAGGGTATCATCGAGCGAATACAGGCAGTCTATCGCCAATATAGCCTGGGCCTATGCTACACATGACTACTCTTCTGATACAGTGTCATCCCGAGTACGTGAATTATTGTCCTATTTCACCACTAGTCGGCAGTATGATGAGATGACTAGTCAGCATGCAGCTACTGTGGCGTGGGCATTATGGAGGATGAGGGGGATGGAAGCCAATAGTGTACATGATATGGCCAGGATTGCTGATCAACATGGAGATGCCTTTGCTAATAGGCATCTTATAACTCTAACACGGGCAGCTGCTGGTGCTAAGTTTTATCATCCATCCCTACTAGATGCTATACTACGTCGTCCAGTATCCTCTTGGACTGCGGATCAATGTGGGCAGTTATTGTGGGTATTGGCCACATGGGGTGTTCGAAATCCACGCATGCTGGAGTATGCTATGCAGTGTGAAGAGATAGCAAGGGCCTATACTGCTGATGGAGGAGCTGATCTTGGTATGGATAAACTGACTACTATTGAGTGGGCAACAGCTCTACTCGATCTGCCGTCACCACCAAGAGGCTCTTATCTGTGGGATAAAGAGAGGGAGTACATAGAAGGGCAGGCAGCAGACCTTACAGTTAGTCAAGTTCTACGGCAAAGACTTAGCGACACTCAGTCCTTCAGTGATATGGGTCTAACACAGCTGTATTGGGCATGGGTATTACGGTACGACGAGGGATGTGGTGATCTGCCCCCTTCCTGGGTATTGAAGGTTCGCTCTTGGCTATCTGATGCAGCCTCGTATTCTCTACAACCCTCATCACTACAGAAGACTGTCCATTCACATTTACCACAGGGAGATTGGCGACAAGAGTACCTACTACCACCATGGGGTATCTCTATAGACATTGCTAGTCCTAGTAGGAAGATAGCTATTGAAGTGGATGGGAAGCTCTTCCATAGTGTTTATGATGTTGCTACTGGACAGACTCTCTCCGACGCATCTGCTACAGTCAAACAGAGGTGTTAGGAGGAACTACTGTCGTATCAGGAGTCAATCAATGCTTCTCTTAGATTACTCACAAGGCAAGGTTGGCGAGTCCTCCGAGTTAGTGAGCAGGAGTTTATGGCTGGGGATAGTGATCAGAGAGCTCACTTGGCTACTGCATTGGCGAGGATGGAGGGTGATGGCAAGAGTAATTCATGACACGTTTCTGGCTAACTAGTTTCATACTGTGGCAGTTATTGTTGTTAGTATCAATATGAAGAGGTGAATAGAGGGCTTTATTCCGAGTAGCTGTAACCCAAGACGATATAGCAACATAACTCTATTGAACTGTCTACCACGTTTAGGGTCTGTTCCGAGTGATAATAAGGGATCAGTCGACTTGATGACACATTGCTGTATGCTCATCGAACCAAATTTCTCTAGTGAAGATAAGTCAGCGTAAATAGAGTGATGAAGCTAAATCAATGCGGATCTGGCCATAGTCCAAGTCTGACTGAGGTGTTGATGCTTTTACTCTTGTAGGATTGGAGGTCACACTGGAATACAGTTTGCACGAAAATTGCACGAACGAGATCCTGATGACTGTGATTCGTCTCTATGCGTCTCTATTTGTTCAGTTTTTTGTCTTTGGCAATCAGTCATCGTCACCCCTATCATGGGTAATACTATATCGTGTGGAGCTAAGGAAAGGTAGTCCTGGGATGGATAGGAAGATTTCAACGGGGAATAAAACACCTTTAATTCAGCAGTGAATTCACTAGCTAGAGCTACTATATACGTACTAGCATGATGATAGTATCCTAAGTAGTTGGCATAATGTCTATGTATGTGCAGTAAGGTAGTGTCAGTTACTCCCAACCAACCTCATATGAGGAGAATGATCCACTCCGTAATGGTATTGGTGCTGCTGCCGCTGATACGTTACAGAGTGACGATGATGATACCCCTGCTGATGGAGGACACGGGTTAGTAGAGGATGACTTATCGTCGAAGGGTATAGAGGAAGTAAGGAGTGAAGGTAGCAACAATGGTGGAGTTAAAGGGAGACAATAGCTGTTAATCAGGTGGTTCTCTATTACCCCGACCCGACGTAGATGATACCCCACCTGAAGCCAAGTTTATGGCCTCGGACACTGAGGAGACCTTGAGACTTAGAGCGAGGTAATAGGTATAGTTGTATCATGTATTGCAGCAGCAATGGTGTGCAGATACGAGGCAGAGTTTGTTAGAAAATTCGATACTGTCCGGTTACCTCCGGGTGATATCTATTACATTGTGTCCACCAAGTGGATTGATTCGTGGAAGCGTTTTGTAGGCATATCATCAATTGTAGATGTGCAGTTAGGAAGTCTTAAAATAGATATCCGAGGAGAAGGAACTCCCTGGCCCAATATCCAATAATCTGCTATTTCATGATGATCTCAAGACATTACTACCACGGTTCGTACGTTCTAAGGACTACCGAGGGATAAATCAAAGGATATGGTCCTTCTGGTCCTACACCATCTCAGACACCAGCCACTTCTGACTCTCTTTTTCCTAGGCTTGCACGTTATGGTGGTGGCCCCCTCATCACTAGATTCACTCTAGACATCTATGATCATACTGGTGAATCACCATGCAGGGACCTTAATCGTGTTTTGGACCCTGGAACTATAGTACCCACTTCAGTGGCCTCTACTAGTAGTGCTCCTATGGCCTACTATTACACAAGGTTTACACCCTGTATACTCAGGTCCAGCAGCAATAGATATCACGACGAAGCCGGTCGGTATCAAGAACCTTGGGAGTAATGATATCTTACTTGATAATCCCTTAGAGCTCTGTGGGTGATAGGTACTTGTTTTGTGACCTGTGTTCTGCAATGTATGCTGTCTATTGCTGAGTTCACCTGTCTAGCATCCCAGATGAAGAGAGGTGTGAAGCATTATCAACAGAAGCATCATCGTAACCACCACCACCATCATCATGATGATGATGTGGATAAGCAGCAGCAGCAGCAGAATACGGCGCATAATACTGTGAAGGAAAAGAAGGAAAACGCTCCGTCCAATGTAGTACAGGGATGTATTATTAAAGTTACCGACTGTAGTGTATGTAGAAGGTTGCTGTTCCTACTTCATCACCATCGTCGTCATCGTCGTCGTCTGTCGGGGATTCTTCCTCTGAGTCCACTACTGCGGCTCTGTATGAACCCCAGCATGGATACTACGAGGTTGCCGCAGCTATGGTGGACCTCTTTAGTAAGTGTCAAGTCAATGTTGAGGACTTGTCCACTGATAGCAAGCCAGCGGTTAATCCAGTAAGGCTCTTGTCTGCATTGAAGAGGAAGTAATACTCCATTGCTCTACATGGTAACTAACGATTCATCATCCCAGATACCCCAAGAACCCCCTCTTCATGGACCTTGCAGAAGAACAGGACTGTCATGAGTTCCTCTCATTACTGTTGGATGCTCTACATGGATGTACAGCTCGATGTCAATTAGTAACGTTCTATACTCCT